CTCTCTCTCCTTAAATATACTATAAGTGAGTAAAATAACTAAAAGAAGTAAAATCATTTGATGAACGATTTTAAGTGATAATTAACCGGTGTTAAATTCACGACGATGACAACATATTGAAAGATGAAACTGAAAATTGATATCTTTCCTATTTTTACAAAACAATATCTTCACTTTATTGAATGTCGAAGGAAGAATAAAATTAAATAATTTTAAATCATAATTTCGCATAGTGACTATCATTTAAATTTGATAAGTTATGGGAATTTATTTTTTCTTTTTTCGTCTTTCTTTTCAAAATGATATGATCGAAAAGAAAATCAATGAGTTCAAATTTAAATTTTCAAACGATGTACTCATTTTACGGTGAACAAATACATTTGTAATTATTATATTTAATAAGTGATAAATCCCATTTAGCATTTATTTAAATAAGAATGAAATGGATTTGACATTTAAAAACTGGCATTGAACTTACACAATTTTTAGAAATTGTAATATAAACTGCGAACTCAGATGTAATGAAGTTCAACTAATGGTAAAGTAGTGAGAATTTATTGAATTAAAATGACCATAATGAGATGGACAGAGTGGACGAAGGAAAATGGAAGAAAAGACAGTGATGATATTCTGAATAAAAGCAATAATTAAATGTAGAAATTAATATATGATTTCAATGTAACACACTGTTATTATTACAGGACATGATCGAACTGTAACGATAATGACGTTGGGCATCACTGTCGGACAACAACTCCATCCACTCTTCCTCTCTGTCTCATCACAATCCGATCCGATATTTTTACTATTACAAAATTTCGACATACATGACCCAATGATATTTCTTTTAATTCTGCTAGTCGATCATCATAACCCTATAATTTCTTAAAAGTTCATTTATCTATTTGTAAATATGAATCACAATTGAATTACTTAGAGAAAATGAAATTTATATATTATTGCAGAAACTAAAAAAAAAATAGAAGCCTTAGAAGAAAAACAATTTTCGGTAGATGATGATTTGCACAGGTAATCAGTCAGTTTAGCGTAATGTAGCACAGACCGATTGTCGCCAACGGGAATAAAAGAAAAGGTAAAAGGAAAATTTAATGCTTGCTTTTGTATAAAAAAACAAAATAGCAAAAGAAAATGGATGCTAAAGACTGGATTAGAAAAATTTCTAAAAAAATAGCCTAAAATTGGATGAATTTAAGAAGAAGAATGATATGATAGGGTTCCTTATGCGATTAATTTAATTTAATTTTAATTTATAATACACAGAAAGTGTAAAAGATAGAATTGGGAATATTCTCAAGAATTGAATATATACCGGTATGTTACATTAACATAACTAACATATTTATGAATGAATGAAAAGGCGGAAAGGAGGCGATGATAGAATGCGGTACGATGAACGAAATTGTGTATAAATTCCTAAACAAATTTGTGGTTCATATTGTTTATATCTGTCGGCCAAATAAGTTCATAAACTTAAGAAATGTTAAAATAGGATTGATTGTTGTCAAATGCGATCGTTATATGTCGTATGATATGCATCGGAGAAGCGTAGATACACGCACACATTTATTTATGCAAGTAATTCCATGAAAGTTATTACTATATGAAAGAATTTACATTTTGAAATTGAGGAACAGACAAATGCGCACTTGGTGAATACTTTCAATGAGTAAACAATGCAGGGAACGATATTTTCGCATATATTTTTTCGTAATTGCAAAGGAAAAACATACATAAATAAAAATTTGGTTGTCAAAAAAAATGAAAAATTAAAATAATGAAATTAAAACAATAATTTGTAATTTGATAATAGTGATTTAAAGAATTGATGCAGAGAAGTTTTGTAATTTTAATCTTTCTATTAATGCATATTATTATTCTAAGGTAATCATTTAGGGAAATCAAATTTAATGAAAATGCGATATGATAGAGAACATTGAAAAAAAAAATACATTCGAATAAATAATGACTTTTGGAAGAGGTAAATCTTGACCAAATGACCAATTCTATTCCGGTATATGCAATTGGTAAACCAAACAATAGATTGTGGAGGAAGGATGGATAGGAGCTTTGTGCAATCGACCTTTTCGACTCGACAGGGTCACCACATCCTGCTTTCCATTCAATTTTTTAATGCATTAAAATAGCACGCGCATTGGTAAGTGCTTATGGGTAAATAATGAATATTGCTTACCTTTAATAAGGTTTGTCAAGCAGAAAAAGGCATTTATATAGCAAAATATAATTGTCTGGCGAAATGAAAGAAGAATTTAAGAGGGGAAAAGTTTAAGAAATTCTTTTTCCTTCCAGAAAACTGCTTCACGTATTCACCTTTATTGTTGACAGATTCTCTAATTAGTCTGAAGGAAATTATACTGATTACAGGTGAACTTTTTATCCTACATTTTTGCTCTCTTTTAAATAAATTTTTAAATAAATTTAATTAAGCTTTTCCTCTCATGTGAAAGTTTAAAAGTGTAAAAGGGAAAAATTTATCTTTTCAAAAATTACCTGCTAAAAAAAAGGACATAATTTTTATCTACTACATCACTTCATTCCTTATACTCTACTACAATCTTTTAAATAACAAAGTTAGCTGTGATTGAAATGATTTATTGGATGGGTATATGATCTGATATTGGAATATATTTAAACATTCTGTCAATGTCGCATATCGAATATCATTATCTCGCATAAAATTTCTTTTTCATCTCTTCCCCAATTATTTCAACAACTGCTCAACAACTATCAGGTTATCAGATCTAATATCAAACATTCATATGAAAATAAAATATAGAATAATAAGAAAGTTTTAAAAGACAATCACTCATTCTCCCTCTCCCACTCCCTTCTCCTCTTTCTCTTTCTCTCCCCCTTCCTCTCTCTCTTTCTCTCTCTCTTTTACATGGTTATTTTATTCTTACATTTCCGCTATAACAATTTAATAATTAAAATTTACTTTTCTATTTACTAAAGCATTAGCATTGCTTTGCACATATATATCTTTTTTTCATATGCAATGCAAGACGTACGAGAAAATTACATAGAA